CTTATCTCTAGTGCACTAATTATCTCTCTTATTCATTTTATCTATTTATAGTAACATGTACATTATATATGTATGTAGATACACGTAGTCAAGACTGTTAGATCTAGAGGGAGTTTAGGTGACTTTTTCTCCCAGCATATTTGGTCTAGATCTTCTGTAATCTCCCATTTCAGCTTTTGGTATCTCCCGTTTTAGTTAAATTTGTCTCCCAAAATTTACAATCTTTCATTACATTTTATCCTATCTCTTTCTCTCCCTCCCTCTCTCCCTCTCTGTCTCTGTCTCCCTCTCCCTCCCTCCCTCTCTGTCTCTGTCTCCCTCACCCTCCCTCCCTCTCTCCCTTCCAGCTGGTTAAGAGTCATATTAATCTACGTTATCTCTGGTGTTGGTGGCCTCCTAATTAGTGGTATATTTATACCAGAAACAGTTTCAGTAAGTGGTTACTACTTATTCCATTACCAGTTCCTCTATTACCCAATATGTTTAGGTCGGTGCATCTGGCTCCCTTTTTGGTCTTCTAGGTGTACAGCTGGTCGAACTCCTTCAAGGCTGGAAATGGGTCAAAAACCCTTGTGTCCAACTAACAAAGCTACTGATATTCGATATCATATTACTAGGTAGGTCAACGAGGAAAGACATCTGATACCATGAGAGACAGAGAGGGCTTGACACGCCTCCTTATTGTTAAGGAATTGAATGGGGAAATGCCTTTAGAAATGCTTTTAATTGAGAGGGAAGTATTTGTTTGTGTTACAATGGCCTGTGTACATATGCATGTGTGCACACTTATTTTGCATGTGACTCTGAATACATACATGTGAAGGATGTTGTTAATAAAATTACATTTGCATGCCCACTCTGGCCTAGCATGCAATATACTTTGTTTGTTTCTCACAAATTCTTTCACTTTTTCCCGTTACATCTCTCTCTCCTCCCTCTCTCTTTCTCTCCCAACCACTTTCTATTTGTCATAACTCTTTCTCTTTCTCTCGCTTTCTTTTCTTATTTCCTTATCCAGTCCTAGGGACTCTCCCTTACATTGATAACTATGCCAATATCGGTGGCTTTCTATTCGGTACCGTATCAGCATTTGTCTTTGTACCATACATCTCGGTCGGGAAATGGGACAAAGTCAAAAAGTTCACAATAGTCACTCTATTCTTTCCTGTATTGGTCTTCATGTTCCTGGTTGCCATTTTCTTTTTTTATGTCCTCCCCGACCCTAATTTCTGCAGCTGGTGCAGTTACATTAATTGCATACCGTATACCGAAACCTTTTGTGACGATTTTCTGAGTAATGTGCAGAGTTTTGTACCAACTATCCCTGGATAACTTAAGTATTTAAGACTTATATTTTATGCTTATATATTAGTTTTATGCTTATATATTAGTTTTATGCTTGAACACAGGTTATATATACTATATATACTGATATTATTGTGTGATTTTACCATTTTGATCAAAGTGTGTTGTTGTGTGCTCTCCCACTATGTGTGTCTATATATGTGGATCCATATATCCCAGTTGAATATGATAATTTAATTCTGTCAGTCTTGATGTGTATAAGTCTGGCTAGTTTTGTCTAGCAGTTAGTCTATGTACTAGTGGACAGTGTAAACTGCATAATTGTGGTGTGTGGTGTTATTGGAGGTCACCTAGAGTGACAATCTATGACATTCATGACCTTGTACTTGTACGGGGTCACATGCTTACCACTTCCTCTTTGTGTTTCTATAAAATGAGAGAGATCGGCAGTTCAGTTATCTATCATAAAATTCATACCAACTCATTCCAGTGTTAACAGCTAGCCCAGTCCAGCTCAAGATGCTCAGATTAGCCAAATCCCTTGAAGGTTTTCTCAAGCTCTCACAGTCAAGCAGTGGTCCACACTTCACTGTTTGTGAGTTAGCTTCCAACATTAGCTTCCCATACTCATCCAGGAGCTATTATTATCAATACTCCAATGACCTTGGGACTGATGTCAAGAGTAAAATTTCGATTGTTCATAGCTCTTCTCTGCCTGAGAACAGCTTTAGCAGTCAAGGCTCAGTCTGGTCTCCTTTTAGTAAGAGACTGCCTAAAGAGAAATGCGTTGTATTGCAGCAGGAAGACAGAGGCAAAGAGTCTTCTTTTCTCCTGGCAGAGTGTCAAGATGAGACAGAAGCTTTGGAGGCCATGTCTGCCATCGATGAGACGTTGAGCCCTTTTCTAAATGAGGGGACCATCTACTTTTCAAAGAAGCTGCTAGAAAGTCTGATACTACCAGAGCCTCTTCCAGTTGATGAACTGAGGACTCACCTGGTAGAATTGATGGAGCATCAATCTGGTGCTTATTCGCATTGGTTTAAAGTAGCTCAGGCACTCAGCAAGATTCCAGCTCATAGCACTGCTAGCTTCAATAAGAGTTTTGTAACACCTGCTGATCTTTGTATGGCTACTTCTGCTGGAAGCCAGGCAGATGAGTGCAACATTAGAGATCATGGCACACCTGCTCAGGACACGAAAGTCCCCCTGTTTCTGAAAATGATGTCATACGATGCAGAGTCGATCTCTGAAGAGTTTTTCACACCCTGTGCTCAGACTGGTGATGTCTTTACATTCAGTGATACTCCTAATGTGAGCCAAAACCCACTCCTGTACTCCATTAGTAAAGGATATGCTAAAAGCTCCCTCCACTTACTCTTAGGAGGAGTGGATCCTAATGACGCTGACATGGATGGTAATACTCCTCTTCACCTTGCAGCCGCTGCAGGGAATCTATTATTAGTGCAGCTCCTCATCACCTTTGAGGCCGACCCAAGACTCGCTAACAGAAATGGAGAAACTCCATTAAACGTGGCATTAGATGCTGGAGCGTACGATTGTGCCCTCATCATCGAAGAAGTAGCAAGATTACTGAATGCAAGGGATGACTTGATGGCAAGCAATCAAACAACAAAATCGTCTCATTCGAACGATAGCTCTCCATTTCTCTTGACTCTTGATGGAGGTGGAGTGAGAGCTATTATGGAAATACAAGTCCTCCTTGCAATTGAGAAACAAATGAAGAAGATATCTCCACTTCACGCATCTTCAATCCTTAAATCGTTTGACTATATAGCCGGGACCAGTGGTGGGGCCTACGTGATGTTCATCACAGTCTTTGGAAAGAAGAGTTTGACAGATGCTCGATCGCTAGTGTTCAGTGCTCTCAATCAAATCTCTGAAGGAACATCACCAGAAACAGACCGTGCAGCTGCATTGGAGGGTATGCTTCAAGACATGCTTGGAACAGAGACACTGATGTCCGATGTGCAGTCTCCTCGGGTAATGGCTACAGCTACACTAGCCGATCGATCTCCTTGCAAGCTTCACCTCCTCACTAACTATGGTTCATCAAGAGATGGGCAGCTAGGGCCAGACAAGAGAAAAGCATGGGAAGCTGCCCGGATCACTTCAGCTGTACCTATATACTTTGGATCATTCAAAGGAAAGTTCCTAGATGGTGGAGTCATGTGCAACAACCCAACATTAGATGCTATAACTGAAATCATTGATCAAGAGAAATCAGAGGGCACTAATAGAAGACCTGGTCTGGTCCTTTCTCTTGGTTCTGGCGTCTCTGAAGCTAGGGCTATCTCTAATGTTGATGTACAACTTCCCTCATGGTCTCTCTCCTCTCTACTAAAGCTCCCTCAGTCACTAAGGGGGCTTAAGAATCTTGGCGAGATAGTCCTTAATCAGCTAACGAGCTCTGATGGTCAAGATGTTGAGAGATGTCGATCTTTGTGTCACCAAATGGGCACTCAATACTATCGTTTATCGCCTCCTGTTCAAGACTTTATTCACTTAAAAGAATCAGACACTAATAAAATGATTGGGATTTTATTTGATGCACAAATGCACGTACTTAGAGAATCTGAGACAATTTATAAAATAGCAGAATCTCTTGTTTGTAAATAAATTTAATATTATATATAATTAGCACAATATTTATATATTTATGTTTTTTTAAGATTTGAATTTACATCTATTATGCAATTAAATTACAACCATTAAAATGCTATATTGCTGCATTAAATTATTGCCTGGGACTGAGTGAGGATGAAATGCTGCATGGTTTCATGTGCTCCTAGAGAATCCACATACATAAAGCAGTAAACCCAACTGCTTAGTACCCTCCTACGGGAGCATGGCAACCTATGCAAGCATGGCTAGTCCAGTGAGTCAGTGAGTTAGGCTAATTTTGTTTTCCAATGGCTCAAAGCTACTGGAAACATTTTGATTCTGGCATTATTAATTCCATATTACACATAAATTACAGCTATAACAGATGCATGTCTCGGTGCATAGAAATGAATAATTAGTTTATTACCTAGCCCCGCCCCAGACATTGCCCGCCTCTAAAAACAGCACAATGAAGCGAGGCTAAAGATGAGAAGGTAAGCTTTTAGCTTTGAACTTTTAAGGATACGGTTAAATAACACCCTAGCGACAGGCAACCATAACTGGGTAATGCCTTTAGCTCTAATAGGTTTTGTTTTGTTAGACTATGTTGACTATGATGTAATGTAGTAGGCCAACATGTGTCATCAACATTTTTATTTCATGTCAAGTTGGACTAATTTTGATGTTTTTATACAATATAGGATGAATATTAAATGATTCTTTGGATTTGGAAGTTACAAGAATGAAGACTTTGTCCCCCAAGAAGTTGTGTCTTGTTGGATTACTTTCAATCTTATTGATGTTGATAGTATTTATGGTAACTAAGCAACATGTGTTATTAATGTATGGCAAAATTTTTGAGCACTACAGGGTCTTTGGTAAAATTTTATCTAAGAGAAGATTTTCACTTTCATCATTTTTTCTGATACATGTACGTGTACATTAGTCTCGTGCCCCGCCCCAAAAGCGAAGGGGCGGGGCACGAGACTACGTGTACATGTACGTACACGTACAAATTTTGAGCTGATTTTGATCAAGATTTGATTTTTAACAAATTTTTAAGGATTTCACAATTTGGCCAGTGGTCCTGTACTATATAGTACAGGGCCATTGCCAAAAAAAATGAAAAGGTGAGAACTATCAATTTTTATAATTTTATCTGATGCATATACATGTTTTTATGTTGCATAGTAAGTTTGAACTGGTTCCGATCAAAATTGGGTTTTTTACAAATTTTTAAAGTTACTCAAAATTTGTGCCAAAGTCCCTGTACAAATTGAAAAAGAGAGAACTCTTTATTTTTATAATTTTTTGATACATAATACGTGTACATGTCAATGTACTTACATGCATGTTGCATAGAAATTTTGAGCTGATTCCTAATTGAAATTGGATTTTTTAATGAATTTTTTTATAAAATTACCAAAATTTCACAAAACACCAAGTTTAATTATTGCTTGAACTATTTTTTTATTTTTTAGTCATTTCATCAAGACACTATCAAAATTGATTATTATAAAAGCCGACTATTAAAGAATCACAGCAGGGAACCAATTACGGAGTACCCCATTGGCCCCACTAGTCTAACTGGGAATGAGGAGAAGCATGATGCTCATGTAAAGTTAAAAGAAGGACCGGATCCGAAAGTGACAGAAGAGCCTTCACAGCCCCTAAATGTAGGAACGGAAAAGAAGGAGCCGATTAAAAAACCAGTAAAAGTAAGAGAATATACTGTATAGTTGGACATTGTGGAGGGAGTTAAATTTGGCAAATTGCTAAATTTTAGGGATTGGCCGATTTTAATTTGGCAAATTTGTGGCCACGTGCCATTGAGCATGCGTATTATTGCTGAAAATGGTGGATTTTTAATTTTGGCGAATTACTATCAAAACACCAATTTACCAAATTTAATTCCCTCCGAAATTTCCCGCTATACAGTATATATGTGTATGTACAATGAATCACTGATTGTATTGTAGCCAGAAGCTTAAAGGAAGTGATGCCATGTATTGTAGTACAGTCTGTCCTTAATGAAATTGTTAATTGCATTCGCATAGTGTGAATTGTTAACGAATGTGTCAAGTGGTGTTCTTTTATTATTATGGCTTCATAGATCTCTCGATACCTAAATCATAGCAGGAGTCTTGAATATAATGATAACTCATTTTCTTAGGTACATGTACCTGATGAGATTCATCCTAAAAGTCAAGCAGACTTATGGATAAAGCTGTCTCCTTCAAACGTGGTATGAACACATATTTCTAATCCTTTATAGTACTGTATGACACTTACATTGTACATTATAGATTAGAAGAGTGGGATATCTTGACAAAAGAAATTTGAATGACGTGAGGCTCAACATCATCTTGATGCAAGACAAAAGACAAAGACCACTTCCCACAGTCTTTGTAAGACTGCACTACACTGATGCCAAGGAGCCACTTTGCTTGTCGACTGAATTAGACCACAGTGCCATCGAAGAAGGACACGACAACTATGTCCTTTACTTGGTTCGTAGTCCTCAGCTTACTGAGGCCCAGAGAGAGTCTCTATCACACGTTACAATATCAACTAAAGGAGATTGCAAGGATGAATCAATTCCCATTGCTATTGAGACTGTTTTTGATCCAAAGGAGTACAAGTATAAATTTGCAATGTGTCTACATAAATCCGTACGGCCAGACCTCGAGCCAAAAGTCCTGCTTGATTGGGTCAAATTGAATCTTGCACTCGGAACGGAATTCATGACAATTTTCTTGCAAGCTGGAGCAGAGAAAATCTACGAAGTTTTAGAGCCTTACGTCAAGAAAGGAGTCCTTGAAGTATTGGACTGGAAACTAGAGCCGCCACTGATCGACAGTGTCTCGTATCACGATGGACAAACTGGAGTAATAGCTGAGTGTATCTGGCGTAACATTAACAGTGTTAAATACCTCGGGATGAATGATGCCGATGAATTCTTTATACCACAGAAACACCATACCCTCCTTGAAATGATGGAAGAGTTAGACCAACCAATGTCTAAAAGATACGGCTCCTACTTATTCACTAACACACTCATGGTAGACAATGGGAGACTCCTACCAATAGTAGAAAAAGCTTTATCGTCAAACAAATGCACCGGACTGGATCCAATGTCATTACCTGTGTATTTCAAACGTGGTAAGAGCTGCACTACTTATGCCGAAAAGATTATAATGGTACCGAATGCTGCTTCTACTGCATGGCCTCATCACCTATTCTCATATCGTGCAGATAAATATACCAAAGAACTCAGGGTCCCTGATAGTATTGGGAGGTCACAGCACTATCGGCCAACTTGGGATGGATATTTTCATAGGTGCTCACCTTCGCAGCTTTCAGACTCATTGAGTGCAGGGAATTATTTCTATAATGTGACTGGCTGTACTCCCTGATACAAATATAATTATTGTAATGCATGTAATAACAATTTTATTTAGAAGGTACAAAAATTTAAAAAGTTAATGGTGATGACAAGAATTTTAGTAATTTTTCGGCATAAAACTACAGTGCAATAGCGAAGCACTTTCTAGCTCGGTACTTTTTAGTGACTGTATGCATGCAGAAAATATTTTTCTATTTATTATTATCATTAATAATATTATTAATGTAGGGTGGTACTCGTGTATTATGTCACGTCAGATCAGCTGATCAGCTACGAGGGTGGTACCACCGGGTCATGGGTGGTACCACTAGATGCCAAGAATTTATAAGATCAGTAACACCAACTGGAAAGGAAGGAAACTAAAAAATGGAGCCTACCATACCTGGAGAGTTTGTGAAAGAGCGACCGGCCGATGATGGTATACAGAAAATAGCTGACAAAGTAAACCAATCGTCCCATACACTATTACCGTATGCCGGTTTATTTTCGTAAAGAAAAGCCTGCATTTAAGTTCTAAATTTCGCGGAATAAATTTGTTTCATAAGATAGTATTATAGTACCTATGCTTGCATTGCAAAATTCACGGCTTGGTAATGGTGCGATTTTAATTTTGTGACGGAGCAAAAAACCTTGAGCATCCGGCAAAATTCACAAAAAATTACCATGACAATAAACAGGTATACGATATGTATAATAAATATCTTTAGGTTAAAGTAGCTGTAGAGGAACAGTCTGGTAGAAAATTTACGGAGTTCAAGGCCATTGCATTTCGCTCTCAAGTGGTAGCAGGAGTGAATTACATTATTAAAGTAAGAGATACTGTGGGGCCAGTGGGCCAAATGGCATAGATACCAGCACTAACCTGGGATCCTTCCTTAGGGTTAGGTTTGGTTAAGGGGTTGGGGCAATTTTAAGTTCAGCCTTACTTTTAGTGATGAATATCCCAGTTGGTAATAACAAGAGTAATCAATAGTGGGGGGAGGGTAATAATCTCAGTTGTTGCATTTTGGAAATGAATTTACCGCAAGAAATCATACAGTGTAGCTGCTTATTTTCAAGGCTGCTTTTTTACAATTCCTTGAGATGGATGGTGTCTTTGAATCTTTGCAAGTCAACCTAATTTGCAAAAAGTGATCTGTGGTCTCATTGTTATGATAATTGTTATACTGATAATTGTTATTATCAATGTTATTATAATCGGAATTTTGTAAGATTAATTTGTATATTATTGTGCTTTAGGTATGTGTTGGTCATGGTAAAAATGATTACATAATGTTGCGTGTCTTTGAGAATCTTGATGGAGAGGTAACTCTTACTTCCTACGAGTTGGACAAGAAAAAGGATGACCCAATTGAAGTTTCTGATTAATTTTTTGCTGTTACATACATGTAACTGTTTTAATCCATTCTAAATGAATGGTGCTGATTTTCGTTGCTGATTTCATTTGCTGATTTTCATTGCTGATTTTTATTTGCTGATTTTCCATTTGCTGATTTGATCATTATGCTGATTTTTGCTAAATAAACTGAGTTTGTTATAGCAGATAAACTATACTGAGTGTGATGTTGAGGGTTACTGGATATACACTCGAATGTTAGTTGATTTACATGTGCAGTAACATGAAACATCTGTATACCTTTAGCTCTAATGGGTTCCGGTTCATTAGACTATGTTGACCATGTAAAGT